CAAGCAATTTGTTTATAATATATGTCTTGATGAAGCAACTAATTAATTCTCTAAATTCAATGGAAAATAGGGTAGCTTTCTTTCTTGGTGAAGGATGATGCATGTTTCATTAAAGCTCTAACGCTAATTGCTCAACAAAGAAAACATAAGATCATCAAAATTGCATCCTTACTGTGATGAGCGACGGTAGCTAAGTACTTCTGGAAAGCCCTGGTGGAAACTGAGTTGTTCATCTTAGCAAGTGTGTGGATTTGGCATGCTACTCCCTCCCTTCCGAATTATAAGATGTTTTGGGCATTTCAATATGGACTATATACGGACTAAAATGAGTGAACAAATACAATAAAACACGTCTATATACATCCGATTCAAAAAAAAAAGTTAGAACAACTTATAATAGTGAATGGATGAAGCAGTAATCATTTGAGCGAAAGAGAAACCAAACATAGACTCGAGAACAGAAAGGTTGCACAAGCTGAAGAATTTATCTCAAAATGATTAAAGGTAAGCAAATCGTCCCCTCTGAAATCAAACCAACAAAAAATAACAATATTGCTGACTGGGATGTTGTATTCTATCGTATGATAATGGAATCTCGGTTTAACCCCCTTCCAGAGGGGAAAAATATATATTCAGGAGTCTGGTCATAAATGGAACCATAGAAGCAAGAAATCTAAATGGCAAACACATGAGGGAGAAATAAGATAGACAGACTATCATACTATGGAGGCAATATTTTGCAGATATTGGAATGGATTATGTTACATTAAGGCTTGACCAGAGTTGAGACCGAGGTTCCAAGTTTAAGCCATGGGAAGTGTATCTATATATGAAAGAAATACCTTAGCCTGATAATTCATGTATCCTAGATTGGATCACCTCTTACCTTGTGCTGCTCATTAGCATAGATGAGCGTCCGTTGACAAACAGTATCTGCATTCGGATCCCATTGAAGTTATTTTCACCAGCTGCTCCATGTGCAGTTATTCCACTGACAGTTTTGGCCATTTTGCACTCTGTATATAGACTGAACTGGTGCAAGGATTTGCAGTTTAGATAACTATGGATATTTTAACACAGTTCATCAGATAACCCCTAGTTCCCAGAATCATGAAGACTAGCGTTGCAACAGATGCAGCCTGCACAGATGCAAGACAGCAAGAGTACTGCAATCCGTTCTGTATGCTACTAGTACTTGCTATATGGCGTATAAGAGGGATGCTGAAATTCGATTCATCTTTGTCCTTAATATCAGATTAATTTAACAGGCAGTGCCGTAGTGTCAATTAATGGCAGGAAATTTTGTTCCACAGTTTTGTTCCCTGTCTTAGGGTATTGGTTGGTGCCAATAGCACTTACAAATGACAACAGCTATGGCCATCCTTATATTGTGAAAGTTCTGCATGTTACTTAAACTACTGAACTGCCTTGGTGAGCTGGAATCGTGTGGTGCTGGTCGTGTCTCAAACCAAATGTGCCGACATATTACATATCGCTGCGTAGATCAGACAGCACAGGCATTGGGCTCCCAGCCAAGAATGATTTGATGAGCGTAAGAGCCTGCTTGGGACGATGAAGAGGAACCTCGTGACCCGCACCCCTTACTGTCACAAAGTTGAGACCCTTGTACCCTTGGGTCCAGCCACCAACCTGTTTAAACACGGAAGAGTTCAGAAGATAGGAACAGAATGGAGGACGGATATCTCAAATAACTAAACACATTGGAGCGAGTAACAAAATGTAAAGGAGAACACGTGTGTTGCATTATAACAGACATTTTGGAGCAAGTAACAAAACATAAATGACAATACAATTGTTGCATTACAACGGCATATGGAATATAACCTATCCTAGTCGAAATGAAACTGGTCCATGTACTTATGCATGATAGCTATAGCAAGTTAGAAATCAAAATGAAAGTGTAGCATGCCTGGAACATCCTATGTGTATTCACATATAGATTGCAAGACTTTTCTCTACTTGCTGTAATACGTGACAAGACTATTAGGACAGAGGTTGCACATAGACACATAACCAAGGCTAAAATGTATAAATTGTCTGAGGATGAACAAATTATGCATGAAAAA